ATTTTGTTGCTATATTCGAAATAAATTTTGTTGAGTGCTGGTTGGTTGATTTTGCACACACACACACACACACACACACACACACACACACACACACACACACACACACACACACACATATATATATATACAGGGTGTTTCAAAAAATTTGATATCCTTTGAGATGTAAATATCACAGAAAGTACATGATTAAGGCAAATGAAATTAAAAAGTATTAATGTTGAAGATCATAAAATTTATTCTTCCAAATCTGAATGAGAAATTCAAGAGCATGTGGATTATGTGAACGATTTCCCAAATGTTCAATATGCGCCCCGCCTGAGACACGGCATACGTCAAGTCGGTAATCCAGCTCCTGCCAAACACGCTGAAGCATATCTTGGATAACAGTCTCCAGTGCTGTATTGATTCTCTGCTTGAGTTCTTCTATGTTTGCAGGAAGAGGGGGAACATACACTATTCCCTTCACGTAGCCCCAGAGGAAAAAGACACAAGGTGTTAAATCAGGTGAACGGGGCGGCCATTTCAGCAACACACTGTCTTTAACACCAGTTCGCCCGATCCATAAAGACATAAAAACATAAAACAAACATTAAACATAAAGATGCTATTAAAATTTGAAGTCATTTGAAGGAGATCTAACAAAGTTATTAGATTGCGAAATGATATCAAATTTTTTGAAACACCGTGTATATTTGATTCATGTTTCATTAAATAATATAGTCAAGTGTCTATTTATTTTATGTAAATTCTTTTCATATCGTCTGATAAGCTTAATAACATTATCATTAAACAAAGAAAGAAAATCACAATATTGATACATATTTTTTAATCCTAAGCTTTCGGCTTACATAAGCCATTATCAAAGATGGCAATTACATTACAATATATTAAGCAATACACGAACAAAACAGTGACGATAGTCTGTTTCTATTTACATGGAAGATTTCCAAGCAACAACAAACTCGTGCATATGATACGCTGGAAGCGAAAATCGCAGCGCAGCTCATGACGTCACAGATGATCACGCAAGAGTGAAAACGAGAAGTATTAAGTATGGGAAGCCGTTGGTATAAACCATTGGCTTCTGTTACCAATTATAGGCATTTAAGAATATTTGTGGAGATTTCATAGTTTATTTTGATCAGGTTAGGTTTCAACTGTTTTATGTATACAGCTTCAAGAATTTTTAGTTTTTATTTATTGTTTTCATGTTTAAGTATAGTTGTGTTTTCAACAAGGATTTTCCGGAATTGTGTATGCAACCAGGCATGTTGTTTTAAAGGCCTAAAAATGTTAGAGATATCATTCAAATGTAGTGTCAAGAAAGCGAGTTTGTGGCGTGACCAACATAAATATTATTTAATTCGTTGGAGATACATTCTCCCAAAGGGCACTGTTATTTGTAAACTATGTTGGTTTTTCTTGTCTATATTATTTAATGAAACATACATTAATGATAAAATGCTGCCTAAAACACACACACACACACACACACACACACACACACACACACACACAATATATATATATATATATATATATATATATATATAGAGAGAGAGAGAGATAATGATAATATTAGTGGTAAATATATTCATAATTTATTTATTTTTTTTTTGAATTTGTAGGTCTGATGATTTGGATCGTATTTACGATTCCAATGGAATAAATTATGACCATGGAATATTAGTGTTTAAGCCTTTTTATTATATATATATATATATATATATATATATATATATATATATATATATATATATATATATATATAATTATTAAAATAACGTTTAGTTGTACAGAGTCCGATCACTACTATAAATTTCATGCTTTTACGCAATCGTCAGGTGGTCGGCAACTGTAATGCGAAAATGTGAACATTTATTCCCCCATGCAAGTCTAAGATGAAAAAAATATGGACGGTACGCTCACACCATGCAAGGACCAACCAGTCTAGAAAAGTGTGTGTGTAGGGGGGCACCCATCCGGCCAAGATAAAAATAAAACCTCAAACAAACAATTATACCCCCACTCAACAAAAAACAAAAATATCTTGCCGATTCGACAAAAAAGTGCCCAATGCCACAAATGCACTCATGGAAGAGCTTTCTAATATTAATAAAAAGTAAGCGGCTTTTTAAAAGAGTCTGCCATGAATGCCCACCGTAAAGAAAAAATGCTCAAGACCATATAAAATAGCAGAGCATAAATTAAGAATCACATTCCAGGTGTACAGTTCCTGTTGCATATATAACAAATAAACCCCCCTTTTTTTCAAAAATTTAAAAATAAATATAAATAATAATAATTATAATAATTTTTACCTATCATAATTTTACACAAACCCCACCACACGTATATACATACATGCGAGGAAATATTTTTCAGCGGAAAAAAAAAAAAAAAAAAAAATATTTTCATAATATGACATGGATACATTCACGAGACATTAACGAGACATTTCCGCCACACTTCCAATGTTTAAATTTCAACATACAAATGCGTATGTATAGACATAACACCACCCGTATACATACATGTGTCAAAGCCGAAACTGCCCACATACGTTTATATATGTATGAGTCCCGACGGACGACCAAGTGTGTATATGTGTCTGCAAATATCGATGTTTGCGTTAGTACGATGAATGACAAAACGACGAAATTTCCCCAACCACTTCCACAATAACACCAATACATAATCTACATAAACCCAAATTTTTTAAAACATTAATCAGTTTGTCTGACGATCGCTAAAGCGTGAAACCCAGGGTCACAAACTCACATCTATCCAACCAAATATGTTAGCTCTATCTCTGATATTGAGCGCTTTCTAATAAGTACCGCGCATATAATATATAAATAATTATACATATATATATTTATTTATATTTATATACACTTTTCACATATATATATATATACCTGTATTAATAAGAAATTTACTATATTTATAGGTGAAGAGCACTCAAAATCGGGAATAGAAAATTTATCGATGTATACACACAGACACAGGAATAAATACTATTCTTACGATCATGCCCTCTCTTTATCTCATATATATATATATATATATATATATATATATATATATATATATATATATATAGTGTATTGGTGTAGCAGATCATTATTCAAGCATATATTATTAAATATAACAGACAACGAATGTCTATTATGTTTGATCATGAGCTGTTCTAAACTTTGTACAGTTGGTTTAATTTCGGGTTAAAATAAAGACAAAAATAGATATTTGGATATTTTTTATTATGCTGTTCCTTGATCTAAACTTCCGTCTCACATGAGTAATCTACATAGTAGTTATGTCGAACTGTATCAGGAATTTACGACCTGCGTCGGCTCTTCCGCGAGCGTTATAGTCGTATAGCAATCTTCTATGCCAACATAATAGAATATAATCTTTGATTGTGAATGTCTTTTTTCAAATGTCCGTTTGAATATATATATATATATATATATATATATATATATGAGTGAACATAGAAGTCAACACTTAGAGGCGACAGTCTGTTTCATGCTATATGCAATAAAAATGTTCACTTTTATATATTTACACGCTCTATCTCTGATATTGAGCACTTTATTCCATAAATATAGCATACCTTAAGACTATATTTCTTTATATATATATATATATATATATATAAATTCAAATGTCCGTATATATATATATATATATATTATATACATGTATAAAACAAGATATATATGTATATTAACAAGAAATAAACTTCAATAGTTGTACAAAATCCTGCCGGTGGGCTCATTTTCTTGTTAAGCTTCCTTGAATAAGCAGGCCAGTTGACGAATTAAATACTCTTTAAAGTACACGGAGCGTATACTCAAACGTTTAAAGTAATATATATATATATATATATATATATATATATATATATATATATATATATATATACATACATATTTATATATATATATATATATATACAAACATACATACATTTATATATATATATATATATATATATATATATATATATATATAAAAACACACACACATATATATATCATGAGGGAGTCTATAATGGCATAATAGAAAATAAACATTTTCTATAAAAAACATTAGTAAATTCTCAAAGCTACGAAACTCCTGTTTGCCCTCCCCCCACACTCATCAATCCACATGCAATAGTAATAATAATAATAAAAATAGTTTAAAAAAAATAACAATAAATAAGCTTCAATTACAGTAGTGACTCAAAAATGCTGACCATTTGCTTCAGCGCCTTTTTATCCAGAGAAACACACCAACGCTACATAAAGCCGTAGGAATTTATACGCAAGAATCGACAATTCTATTAACTGTTGAGAAAAAAAAATGTATTGTGTCGTAATATTGATGCACCTATTATTTTTTATACACACACACACGACCGTACAAACACACGCACATACAAGTGCACGCACAAATATGCACACACACAATCACACAAAGACGTACGCACACACATACATACACAAACACATACATTAACACATACATACAAATACGCACATACAACCACAAACACACACAAACGCACACAAACACTAACAGACACGTAAACATAGACACACAAATATGTGTTTGTGTTTTTATGTTTGTGCGTGTGTGTGTCCTTCAAGTGAATGAATCCGAGACGAGAAACTAATCACCTCTTCATTTTTGTTTACGACCATGAAATTGCGTGTGTGTATTTTGCTAATTTACAGAAGATTTCAAGATATCAAAGCGATAATAATTATGTTTTTTTTCCTTTTGATTTCTTGTTCTAAGGTACAAAAAACCCATTGGCGGCAAATACATACATACATACATACATACATATATATATATATATATATATATATATATATATATATATATATATATAGGCGCGTGTTTGGGAATATCGAATGTTTTTTACCTTATGTTTTGGAAACAAAAGAAAAATATCTTCGATGTATGTTAATTGTGAGTGAGTGAGTGAGTGAGTGACTGAGTCAGTCAGAGAGAGAGAGAGAGAGAGAGAGAAGAAAGAAAGAAAGAAAGAAAGAAAGAAAGAAAGAAAGAAATGGTGAATGATCAAATGGAGCGGATGGAAAATGTGTCAATGGTGTAAAAATTGCCGTAGTTAATGAGAGAAAGACTAGATGACGAGTGTGAAAGGACAGACAAATTGATACAAAAGGGTTAAGTACAGAAAGAAATGAAGAAAGAAAGAACGGATAGAAAAAGATTTCTCTTGGAAGTAAGGAAGGCATAAAAAAGAAAAAAAAAACGAAAGAAAGAAAGAAGGAAATAAAGAAGGGAAGAAAATGAAAGAAACAATGGAAGGATGAAAAGGCTTCGTTTGGATGTAAGAAAGACACGAAAAAGAAGGAAAGAAAGAAAGAAACTTGGAAGTAAGAAAGGCATGATAAAGAAAGAAAGAACAAACGAAAAAGAAAGAAGAATGAAAAAATACGCTTCGCTTGGATGTAAGGAAGGCATGCTAAAAAAGAAAGAAAGAAAAAGAAAATCGGAAGTAAGGAAGGCAAGATAAAACAAATAAAGAAAGAAAGTCGAAAGTAAGGAAGCAATGAGAAAGAAAAACGAAAGAAAAGAAGGCAAAATAAATAAGTAAAGAAAGAAAGAAAGAAAGAAGGAAAGAAAATCGGAAGTAAGGAAGGAATGAGAAAGAAAGAAAAAGAAAGAAAGAAAGAAAAAATCGGAAGGAAGGCATGATAAAGAAAGAAAGAAAGAAAGAAAGAAAGAAAGAAAGAAAAAAAGAAAGAAAAAGAAAGAAAATCTGAAGTAAGGAAGGAATAAGAAAGAAAGAAAGAAAAAGAAAGAAAAAGAAAGAAAGAAAAAATCGGAAGGAAGGCATTATAAAGAAAGAAAGAAAAAGAAAGAAAGAAAAAATCGGAAGTAAGGAAGGCATGATAAAGAAAGATATAAAACAGAAAACGATGGCAATAAATGATAGCAGGCGAAAGAGGAAAAATAAATAAAATATTAGAAATAGTTTCAGAGGTATAGTGAATGAGTGATAGTGTAAGTGAGTAAGTAAGTGAGTAAGTGAGTGAGTAAACAAGCGAATGAGGGAGTAAATGAGTGAGTTATGTCCCAGAGAGGAGTGGACTGTAAGACGGATATTGGACAAAACAAACAAAAGAACTTCCGGGACAAAGAGGAAAACAAGAAGGCATTTGGATCGACAACACAAGCAGACAGATTGAAGAAGAAAATAATTTTGATGATGTGGCAATTTAACGTTTTCTATTTTCCCCATTCTCATTTTTCTCTCCTTCGGGCTTACGTCGATCCTGAAGCTACCTGTTTTTCATTGAGTTCTACGAATGAAGAAGACATTTTGATTCAAAGCAAATTCCTTCTCTTCTTTTATTCTGAAAAGAGATTTGCTAGCATTGCATTATTTTTAGCTGATGAGAAAATCGAACGTTTTTTTCCGGAAAAAGATTACTGCAGACATACATTTAGTAGAGCATGTGTTTCGTTTTATATGCATTTCTTTCTTTCTACATTTGTTTGTTCATATCTATCTACCTCATTATCTAACTGTATTCATATCTATCTATAAGGTGCGACCTCAAATTTTGGGGGATTGGGTCCGGTAAACATATGGCTTATTGGATAACTTAACTCTTACTATCACCTTCGAAATAGTCTATTTCTTTATGCATACAACGAAGCCACAATGAATACTACTTACAAGGAATAGGGGCAACAGTCTGTACTAAATTAAGTTTTGCATTCTCACACCCATCATACACACACACATATATATATATAATTATTTCTTTAAAAATCAAAAAAATTATTTAAAAATATGATTCCAACACGCTACATAAGATAAGATTTTTAAATAAATAATTTTATTTATGCTCTACTTTTGTATCGAGCACTATTTTTTAAAAATAATAACAAAAATACTAAAGAACTTTGGATTATTTACCTAACGAGTTCTTTCCTATTTTCTATATATTTTTCACACACACACACACACACACACACACACACACACACACACATACATATATATATATATATATATATATATATATATATATATATATATATTATGATAAAGTTATTTAACTGTAAATATCAGTTTTTGATGTTGCTTCCAGAACTTCAAATTTTCTTGTAATTATCCATTCCTCAATGGGTCTGTTGTTTGAATAATTTTTTTTTTTAATATTTTTTTCAATTTTTAGGAAATAACCTTTTCAAACAACAGACCCTTTAAAAATGGAAAATTCCAAGAAACTTCAAAGTCGGAGAAAACGACATCAAAAATTGTTATTTACAGTTAATAACTTTATCAATGGTCTATTTTAATATTTTCAATATTAATATTTTTTTATCTGCTTTACTTTTGAACTATTAGATTCTTATATATATATATATATATATATATATATATATATATATATATATATATATATATATATAACCTCGGAACAGTGTCCCAAGCCACTCAATGACAGAGCACTAGCCGGGTCTAGCAAGGATATACAAGTGATTATTTTTGGGATATAGGCTAATCATATAGTAATTTATCGAATCTAGAATAATCCTCAATAGAATACAGAAAGCACTGAACGGCCGTTTCGTCCTATCTGAACTCATCAGCACTACCGAGAATCGAACCTGGACCGTTTCGATACAACGAAAACGTCATACTATCTCTCTCTCTCTCTCTCTCTCTCTCTCTCTCTCTCTATATATATATATATATATATATATATATATATATATATATATATATATATATATATTATATACCCACATGCATACATACGACGTCTGTCTCAAAAATAATGAGACTGGGTGTGCTGTGTGAACCCTGGGCGAAAGAGGGATTAGCGGATTGTGTTATTATCTAACGTGATATCTTGGGAGTATATAACAGTAATCTTAGTGTTTGCTTCGCTCAGTGCACGAGAAGAGACAAGAGTCGTGTCAGGATAAATCGTGGTTTCTTCACCACGACAATGCACCTGCTCACAATGCCTTGATTATCCGCCAGTTCTTGTCGGAGAACATCGCTGGACTGGAACAACCTCCCTATTCACCTGATTCTGCCCCGTGTTATTTTTTTCTTTTCTCCAATCCCAAGGGGACTGTTTCTGAAGGTTTAGTGGACATCAAAAGGGCCGTAACGACGAAGCTGAGGGGGGCATCTAAGAAGAATCCTTTCAGAAGTGCATAGAAGCGTAACTAAGAAAAAAAGGAAAAGTGCATTAGACTCGAGGAGGATTACTTTGAAGGGGAAAACATCGAGTTTATTGTTTGGAATTGAAATAAATTGTTTGTGACACCAGTGGCATATAAAAGGAGGGATGGATAAATTGTAGTCTAAATTGTGCAAAATTGAAAATATCACTGGCATTTCATTTTAATAGATATATTTACCAAAATTACACAAAAATATTTTGAAATACGAAAGAGTCAATTTATTCAATAAAATCGGCATTGGCTTCAACCACCGCCTGTAGACGAGGCTGGAATCTCCTGCAACTCTTCTGAACAGTCTCCTTGTTTAAGTTGGTCAATGCTGCCATAATCCTTGCCTTTAGTTCATCTTTGTTATTACAAGGAGTTTTGTTGATCTATCACGTCACTAAACCACACACATAATAATCAAGGTGGGGATGCAGTCTTTAGGAGCTAGGTGGCTAAATGTCAGGGGTTATATGGTCGCAGAAATCCTCTGACAGCCATGGCTGAGTTCTCCTGCTTGTGTGGCATGGTACAAAGTCCTGTTGCCAGACATAGGGTCTTCCAGCAACCACCCTCCTGACTCAGGACAGCACTAACTCCTCAAGGCATTTGATGTAGGCCTCCGTGTAGAGCCTGAGGCTCTCACCAACAAATTCGGCAGTTCTTTTCTTATCAGAACGGAGTTTTACGAGCTGCTGTGCCTTCGTAATCACCATTAGACTCATCCTACTCTTTCTTGGTCCTCTGCACTGTCTTCAGATTAACATTCAATCACTCTGAAATGTTTGTATTGGAGCTTCCGGCGCGAATCCCAAGCAGTACAGTATGCCATTTCCAAATTTTTGGTGGAGTAAATTGCATCATGGTGCTTTTTTTCTCATAGACGGTACCTAATTGACCCTAGTATACTGTACAGTCGACAAAATAAGAAACAAACAAAGCACATGCGCGAAATTAAAAAATATAAAATGGCAACAATTTACCCATCGCACCCTGTATAATGTTTGTGGTTTATAATTTACACATTTGCAAATATGTTTCACACTTAGTGATTTTTCAAAATGAGTGGTTGTTTTTTAATAGCTTTCTTGGCATCTTGTGTTCTCTTCACGTTTTCTCTTTCTTAGAATGCGTCAGTATGTCAACAGTTTGGAATAATTTTATTTCACTTATTAAATGAATCACGTTCTTAATTTCTATAATTTAGAATCTAATCTCCAAGAATAGATTGAAATTTCTCTGTGTTTCACTATATTTATTTCTCTCATTTTTATTATATACCAATCTATATTTTTCTTCTTCCTTTTGAAATCCTATATTTATTTTGATGGGCGTAAGCGTTCATGACTCTCCACAATTTCCTATAACGCGTTTGTTAGGTTCGTTATTTCCCTCTACGCCTCTTTGCCTTCAATATTTCCTGTTAATGTCAGATTCTCCAAGGGTCCTTTGGATTTTTTCCCCACAAGTCCTACCCGCACACCAGAGATTAGAAATAGCTGTAACCTTTGAACAGCTTTCCATCGCAGTTTACAATTGCTCGGCGATAAATTTGGTCCAGTGGTCGTTTTGGTGCGTAGTCTGGGGTTTAAAAGGCGCACCTCTTTTGGTTCATTGCCTGCCGGTCAGTAAGTGGATGAGAATGATTCCATTTATAGATGACTGCTGTCAGGCGATTTTATAGTTAACAACAATGTATCTATCGTCATTTTCTGGTTGGTCGATACCGATACAAGATTCAACCAATTTTCTCAGTTTAAAAAAGAACTAATAAACTCTTATTCGTCAATTAAGCTGATTTTGATCTCAGACTTTCGCCTTTTATGGAAACTTCACCTACGTGGAAAGGAATTTAAAACCAGGTCTGCAGGAAAACGGTCATTATGATTTGACTGTGCATATAATAAATCATGAACTCTGGAAACGGAACCAACTATTCAAGTGTTATATGGTTAAGACTTTCTATGATATCCTTATATTGATAAATTTTTATGGCAAACGTTCTGATAAGTGACATTCATTAGTTCCACCAGTTCAGACATTTATAGCTAAGACCTGACATGCCAAATACACAGGCATGAAACATTCCCATTCCTTTCGTATTCCATTAGTAAGAAAGAAGTTCCATTCAGAAGTCTTCTTTCCAAGAGCCGCTGCTTTGTGGAATAGACTCCCGTGAGGATGCTTCCCCGATCACTACTTCAAGTCTCAGGGAAACTGTTATCTTTCTTGCATGTTTTCATAATCTGCAGTTCTTACCTCCTTTACTTATGTTCATACAACACTCAACCGGTAACCTTCTACCTTTAGTGCCTCTTGGGCCTTGTATAGAGTGAACGATTAGTAAAAAAAAAACCTAAAAAACTTTGAGGTGGGACCACTTTGCATGGAAACTTTTATCCTCACGTGGTTACTATAGTAATCAGAAAGAGACAACTTCGGGGATAGTGGGGTGCCACACCTTGATTGATGAACACATCAGATGAGGTGGCTATTTTCGCTCTAGTCATCTACTGAGAACTTTTTTGACGAAAATTATTCTGGCCTTAAAATTCCTTTGAATATTGAGTAAGTAATTTATAGACTTGGCATAATCGCCCTCTACAGATGTGAAATTTGGACATTCCTGATCGAGGCAGGAAAAAAGGATCCAGGCGTTCAAGAAAAATGCTTCAGAAAACTCCTCCACATCTGCAGAAAAAAAAAAAACAATGACTATGTACGGAGGTCAAAGGTCATAAGTTTCGTGGACCAACAGGAATCTCCTGTCCTTATTAAGCGTCGGAAGATGGCATGGTAAAGCGACTTATGGCCATCCTTGTATATTTAAAACGATATGAAATACATGAAAATGCTTTGACAAGAATGATATTTTCGTCGTTGTTTTAACGCTTATTGAAGGGCAAATCACAAGAAAATAACATTATTATTGTTTTCTTAGAATTCATATTTAGCATTTTTTAGGCTTAGCGATAGTTACATTCATTTACTTACGCGAGTTTTACCGTGGTTTTCCTCATTTCAGAGCACTTACGTCCATTTTAT